AACAACATGGATGGACCTAGAGGGTACTGTGCTGAGCAGGTCAGAGAGAGAAAGACAAATGGCAGATAGTTTCACTTATATGTGGAACCTAAAAAACAAACAAGCAGAACAGAAACAGACTTGTAGACAGAGAACATTTTGACTGTTGCCAGATGGGAGGGGTGTTGGCAGGATGAGTAAAAAGGTGAAGGGATTAAGAAGTACAAATTGCTGGTTACAGAATAGTCATGAGGTGGCAAAGTACAGCATAGAGAATATAGTCAATAACTATGTATGGTGTAATAACTAAGTATGGTGTCAGATGGGTACTAGATTTATCAGGGTGATCACTTTGTAAGTTATAGAAATGTCTAATGACTAGGTTGTACATTTGAAAATAATATATGCCAACTGTCATTGATAAAGAAAAATTATTTTAAAATAGATTTTAAAAATATAACTTTTCAATAGCTAAAATAGCCTTATTCATAATTATTGCATTAAAGATTATTAATGAAAAGTGAGAAAGTCAATTATTCAGATATTTCTCCAAATCTGGATAGTTACTAAAATATAGGAGAAATTCAGAAAATTATTTAGATTAATGTTTTATAGTTCTGCCCTTTTCAGATGCATCCCATACTAACACATCCAAAAGTTAATTCCTAATTTGCTCCCCCCAGAGGTTTTTCCACAGCCTTCATCATGTCACAAATGATATCATAATCCATTCATTTGCTCATTTAGAAAACTGAGCCTCATCCTTCAAAAACCCCACATCTGTGTTATCCATAAGGGGCATCAATTAGATTTCCAACATACAGCTTGAATCCATTCACTTTTTTCTGTCTTCTTTTTTCAAGTAACTTCTAACTAATTTATGCTCCCACTCTTGCCCCCGTCAATGCATTTTCTTCACAGAGGCTAAATGAGCTTCAAAAAATTGACAAATTTGATGATGTCACTCCCATGCTGAAAGTTTTACAACGTCTTCTCATTGCACTTGACATAAAGACACAGATCTTTACATACGGTCAAAGAAACTGTGAATGATGAGGGCCCTGCCTATCTTGACAATATCATTTCATGTCATTCATTATTTCACAATTAAACTTCAGTCACAATTGACCTATTTTAGTTTCTAGAATGTATCACAATCTTTCCTACATTAGGGTCTTTCACATAGACATGATTTTACTTCTGTCTGGATGCTCTTCTCCACTCTTTATCTGGATAAGTTCTATTTTTATTTCTATTTCAAGGCTTAGCTTAAGTGGTACTTCCTTAGAGAAGTCTTATTTACCCACAATTTAACTGGTACCTCCTTAAAATCATTTTTGTTCATTCATACCAGTTTTCCCAGTTTATATTATAGGTGTTTTCTTCATCAGACTATAATCTTGAACAAAAACTATATTATTTTTTTGTCTGGCTTTGTGCCACGTACAGAACAAAAACTTACTAAAAGTTTGTGGAATTGCTGAAGGACTCAGTTAATGAATATATCCAGTTAGCTCTGCATTATACACACAAAATCAAAGCTAGTTAGCTCAGTTGGCTAGAGTGTTGATGCTTTCTACAGAGAGCGCTCATGCACTCAAGAGCAGATAAGGACCTGTGGGCACTTTATGTTTTAAATTCTCTGGAGGATGTCTTTCCTGGTTAAGGCAAACCATATCTTCCTTTTGTCCCACTGGAATAACAGTGCAAGCTTCATCACTGCTGATATCATTCGGCCTTACATTAAAGTGAGTTGACGTTATGTCTCTCTTTCCCACTAGAACTTTCTGACTCTCCCATCAGAATCACCATACATCTTCATCCTCCACAGTGCATAAGAGTCTCCATAGTATGAGCTGAACATTGGTAAAACTTTTTTTTATAAAAATTTATCATTTTTTATGTTGATAGTATTATAGATGTCCCCTATGTCCCCCTGCTGTAAAATTTTCTTTTAAATATATCAGCATTCAAAAATAAAGACTGACACATTCTAAGTGTAAATGAGATTGCAAGGATCACCAAATTTAGTATAGAATCCAAGGACTAAAACAGTTCCTTTCCCAGTACATCAATAAGCTTTATGCAGAGAAACAAATCCCCATCAGTGACCTTTGTATGGTGACAGTACAAAAAGGCATGACTTGCTCAGCATAATCCCAACAGGATCAACACCCTTCCCTCTATGGGCATTTGGCAGAAGTCAGCCTTCAGAAATATAAATTTAGTTCTAACAGTTTCCAAGTCCAGGTACAACTCTATGGTCCCTACGCTGTGTACTGTCATTGAGTTATTGCCTGGGTATTCCTGGTTGATTAATGCTCATCTGTCCCCTCTTCCAAGTCCGAGGTCAATTCCCGCTCCATTCCAGGATCAAAGGAGAAAACAGTTCAGAGCCAAATAAACCAGCCAGAGGGGGCTCTGGTATCAAAGATAAAGGCTAAAAAAAAAAAAAAAAAAGTGAAATGTTCTGATAAAATTAAAGAGTTCTGTCTATGAATTCTCTAGAGCTCTTAAGTGCTCTGCTGAGCAGCTGGAGGTCATCAAATGACTCAGCTAGCCGGAGGCCTGCTAATGAATGGTAATACTTTGCTGGGAGCTTAGAAATACTATTTGCCTTAGGGCTGTGCTGAATAATTGCTGGTAATTGAACTGTGTTTATACACACTATTTATATAGAATATCTTTTCATTTATTTATTTTTTTTCTTTATTGATTTTAGAGAGAGAGGAAGAGAGAAGGAGAGCTAGAAACATCAATAAGAGAGAACATCAATTGGCCACCTCCTGCATGCCCCCTCCTGGGGATTTGGTCCACAACCTGGGCATGTGTCTGGACCAGGAATCGAACCGGCAACCTCTTGGTGCATGGGTCAACACTCAACCACTGAGCTACACTGGCCTGGCTAGCGTATCTTCTTAATAGAAATAATGTGATGCTCATTTTGTTTTGCATTAAAGTACCTTGCAAATATCATTTTAGCAAACATGTAGGGTAGAAGTTCTTTCATAAAACCAGACATTCTGGCATGGAAATGCCTTTCTTTCCTTTTCCTTTTCCTTTCCTTTCCTCCCTCTGTCTCTTTCTGTCTTTCTTTCTCTTTGCTAGATCTAATTATGTGATTTGAATGCATTAGCCCATGAGGATTGTTTGAGTATTTTCATTACATTTCCAAACAATTGTTATGAGGGCCACAACCATATGCAGCAAAGACTACTACAAATAACACATATATAGAACTAATACATATTGAGAAGTCAATTTGTGCCACTCTGTGAATTGATTCATCTAATCCTCACGACATCTCTAGGGGCAAGTGCTATTATTATTCATATTTTGTAGGAAAGAAAATTAAAGCTCAGAGATTTTTAAGCAATTTGCCCAAGGTCAAAGAACTAGTAAGCTGCAGAATGTGAAAAATGATAGAGATAAAGCCATGTTAAAATGGAGTCAAAGCCTCCATCGAAGGGGAACTGCCCTGCAGGTTTAACTCCTAAAACCTCTGGAATGTCTGAACTGGGGAAAATCACCTGTGCACTGGGCAAACCCAACATTGTATTCTAAGCAACTGTTTGCAAAACTAATAGAAAAACAGACATTTTGACCACAAGGACTGCAAATTAAGGACATTCTTTGGAATTAGCACCACCAAGTATAGCTAGAAAATAAACTAGCTTATTTGTACCTGTAGAAATTCCATCCTTAGCTAAATGGCACCAATAGAAATCCCTTCCTTCTATTCGTGTAATTATTTCTCCTTCCTTTCTCATAAATATCCCTTGCCTTCACCTCAAAATTGTAACTCTCTTTGGGTTTCTGTTTGAATCAGTGCTTCCTAGAAGTACAATACTTTTTTATCTAAAATGAACACTTGTTTCCTCTCACTTTGGTTTTTTATTTTTAGTTTAGCAAGGCCTCAGGTTCACACCTAGCAGTTTGGCTCTGGAGTCCGCACTTTTAACCAGCAAACTTACCACATGCCATATATTATTTAACAGCTTAATTATCATTAACCCCATGGGATAGAATGCTGCCAATATAATATCCATTTAACAATGAGAGGGTTGGTCCAATCAATGTCACTCTGCTAGCAAATGTCAGAACAAGGCTTTTAAACTCAGTTCTGTCTGGCTCTTCTGAGATCTTAAATACCACCCACTAATACTTCCCAGAAAAGATGGGATAGCCAATATTTTAAATCACATGTATTACAGATAAAATAAATTTTAAGGGAAAGAGAAGTGATTTACTAAAAGATTATAGTAACTATCAAGTCATAATCTTCCAAAATATTTAAAATAGGCCAGTTATTAGAATTTTCTAAAATATGTGAAATACTATTAAGCTAATATTAAATGTCATCATTCTGAAAAGCAGAGCTCAAAGGACTATTCCTAAAAATTAAAATAATTATTCATTTCACTGTTTATGTGATTCCTCAGGGTAAGTGCAATTACTTCAAGAGAGGTAATTTTTGTGAACAGTTCAAAGAAATAAATTTCAATTTATTTTGAATTTGCAAGTATAAAATGTTATTTAGTTCTTGTTGGGTATAACAGATAAGAGTATTACAAAATCAAAACAAATCACAAGAGTGTTATAAAAATATAATAATTGTTATTTCAGGATAGACTTTCAATTGTTAGCATAACTACTATTTTTCCAAATGAGAGGGGTAACCATTTATATCTGAAAAGTTAGAAAGTATTAATATGCCAGCCAAATCATGATGACCCATTAGGTTGTAAAATTTATAGAGAAAATAGAAATGGTTGTTGTTATTTTTGGTTAAAAAGACAGTCCAACACCAATCTAGTCTTTCCTTCTCTGAGTTCATATTTAGAGTTTCGGTTTCTCTTACTCTGTATAATAATCACTATTGCAGGATTTCAGATCTGTTGTTATACACTGAATACTGGAGGAAGAAAAAAGAGAGTACGTCACCGATGGGTTACAGCATAAACCTGAACAAAATGGTTGGTCACTGGTGTCCTACTGTGAGTCATTTATGGTTTTATTACCTTTAGGTCCTTTGAACAGTTTAATTTCTACAACAGTCTCCAAAATAGGTCGTCTTCTACGCACGTAGAGCCGAACGATAGACCCCGCCTCTTTGAGGGCTTCCACCGCTTTGCTGTGGGAAACCTCTGACACATCCACCTCGTTCACCCGCAAGATGCAGTCATTGACCCTGAAAAAGGGAAAGTGCAAAGGTCAGCAGTGTCTAGAATATTTCTCAAAGAATATTATTATGACCTTCTAACCTTGAAGTGGGGGAGCAAAGAATATAAGCGATTTTAGAATGCTTAAATTTGGAAAGAATATTTCAAATAAAGGAAACACACACTCTCTTTCTCTCTCCTTAAACTCCTCAGCTTTCTCTGACTTCCCCACATTGACTGCACTATTGGTCAAGTCCCATCCTGAACTCGTCTACACTGACTGGGACTGCATCAGGCGTGGTGCAGTTACAAGGATGCCAATTTTAAGGTCTCTGCCCCTGACATCATAATTTTGATTGGTTTTAATTGGTTGGACTGAGGGTTACAGATTTACTATGGAATATATAGACATAACAAATGATTATGAGTGTGTAGTTTGAAACTAAAAAGACTTTTTTCCTCCTCACTCTGCATATTCTTTCTAGTGTTCCCCATTTCAGTTTACTGTATTGCTTAGAGTAAAAAATAAGGGGCAAATGTTCCTTGACTCCTCTCTCCCCCTATCACCACATATTCAGCTCTATCTGCAAAGTATGTTTGCAATCCATTCAGTGTTCCTCATCTTCACTGCTAGCACCCTGGCTGAAGTCAGCATCATCTCTTGCCTGGATTACTTCCACAGCCTCCTAACTACCCTCCCTGGGTCCTCTCTTGTCACCTTTCAATCCATTCTCCACAAGTGACCAGGGTGAAGTGAACATGGTTGGTTGCTTACCCACCTCCCATTCCCCAGTTCCTTCTTCCACACAGTGCCTGAATTTGTTTGGGACATCAATTCCTTAGCAAATACTTGTTAGATGAATGAAAGAATAAGTCTCAGTTCAACTATTGGGCCCTCCATTTCCTAAGTTTATAAATATTAGTAATTTTCTTAACCTCCCTAAGCTTCCATGTTCTCCTCTGTAAAATAAATATAATAATAATACCTACTATAAAGACTTTGGGGGGAAATTAAATGAGATAATGTACATATAAATTATTAGCACAGACCCTGGTATATAGCAAGCACTTAATAAGTGACTATTATTGGAAGCAGTGCAAATTTATTTATAATATTCTTAAATATTGGATCCTTTCCATAATTTTGTGGAATACAATTTATTGTCCACATGATAGACAAGAGAGTTGCTCCAACTGGTTAAGTTCTTTGCATAAATCTGTCAGGAATTTAGGTAGAGATTGGATATGATCTTATGTCTGCCTATTTTAAAATTGGGCTCTTTCCTCTTAGAACCACACAAAGTAAGTCTCACTTAATGTCGTCGATAGGTTCTGCAACTTTAAGTGAAATGACATATAACAAAACCAATTTTACCAGAGGCTAATTGATATAAACAAAAGTTAAATTCCTATGATATATTATCAATGTTATAATGAAATGACATTGAATGAAACATTATTTGAGAACCTGCTGTATATTTAATGTGAGGAACAGTTTCAGGTATATTGTGTACATCAATTCAAAATTATATAGGCTCTGGCTTGTGTGGCTCAGTTGGTCAGGCATTGTCCTGTGCACAAGGTGGTTGCCAGTTTGATTCCTGGTCAATGGCACATGCTCAGGTTGCAGGCTCCATCCCTGGTGGGGGCATGCAGGAGGCAGCCAATCAATGTTGTACTTTCGCATCAATGTTTCTCCCTCTTTCTTCCTCCCTTCCCCTCTCTTTAAAAATCAATAAACTATTCTTTAAAAATAAATTATATCAAGGTAGTAGAAGTATTATACAAAAAATATGGAAATAATTTTCCTATTAGTTTTGTCCATAACTTTTCTATACCTATTTGAGAAGCTGAGTTATAGAAACCCGTGTTGCAATAAGAACCCTAATTAGCCTCAAAATCCTGAAACGGAACATTTCACTTACTGAGATTTATTGATGTCATTTTATCCGAACAGATGCTATGGTTTTAATAGATTTACACATACATTTCCTCTCTGACTGACTGAAAAAACAATTCACGGAAAACTACCAATTAAAATACGTTTGAGAATGTAGGCATCACGGTGCCAGCCTCCCTGCAGCAGCTGGTCCTTTGAGAGTGGGTAATTTTGTCATCTCATGATAATGCAAAAACATTAGGTTTACCATCACCCTATGCTCAGAATACTAATAATATCTTAAAACACTGCTTGCCGCAGAAGGGAGTGGCTGATATATTTTTCTTTAAATCTGCATGCTGTATCTATTCAAACGAGTAAATTCTTTCCTTTTGTATATAGTGTAAACCTTCAGTGTTGATTGCTGGGGTAAGAAAACCACAGCCTAAATCAGATGGTTTTCCCTGAACACGTGGATGAAATTGGCAGCTTTAGTGTACCGAGAAGAGCATTGCTCGAGCAGTCAGGAGGCTTGGATTTGAGTCTCAGCTGTGTATCAGCTGTGTGACCATGGTCAAATGATTTCATCTCTTTGAACTCCAGCTTCCCATGGAAAGAGAATGGGCATACCCAGGGTTAGTGGGAGGAGAGACCAGATAGGTAACAGCTATCTATGTGTACAATGTAACACAAGATACATCTGACACTTAAATCTATTGATCAGTGAGTCAAAGATGCTGTGCTCAAGGATTTATTAAAAGGTAAACAGGATGGAAATGGAAAGTTTTAGGGGGCCTACAATAAGCCATACCATTCAGGTCACTTCATTTATTTGCTCTCATCTAAATCAGACCAATTATAAAGGGCTGATTCTTATTTTGCAGACAGTTCAATTTTATGGACAAGGTGCAGGATTGGTGAGGGCATGAACATGATTCCTAACTGGGTATGTCTTTTTCTGGAGCCTATACTGATATCAAGTTATTCAAAATTGATTGTTTTAAATTAAAAAATAAATTTGGAGTATGAGGGCAGGAATTTATATTCAAATTCTTAAAATCAAAAGGTGAGACTACCAAGTCAAACTAGGGTGTTCAAATTCCCTTCCTCCCAATCACTTCAAATAGCATTTGGTTAGAGGGTCATGGTTCTTTAAAATTAACTTGCTTTCTCTACCAGTAGATAACCTTTGTGAGTAAACCCATCACTTGTATTCATTTTGAAACATATCAACATATTACTACCTTCAGAAAAACACTCTGTCCCCATACAAAGTGTAGCCTTTACATATTTCTGACCCATTGTCTTAGAAACCCATTTACATATAAATTTTCTCTCTACTCTACCCATGTAATTAAGTTTACAGTTTCATTCTTTCAGTGCTTGTTGCTTCCGACATAAGTCTACAATATTCTTTTTGTGGACTAGAATGGTCTGCAAGATTAACAGATTAATTTTAATCTTTTCCTAGTTTCATTTCCTTTGGACATTCTAGTACATTTCCTTGTAGAAAATATCTTAGAAACAAAAAGAACATTTCATCATTAACATGTCCATGAAATCACAACTAAAATTTTCACTAAACAATTTATTATTCTGGAACATAATATAGTATCAATGAAAAGTCAAATGATACTAAACAAATTAGTTATTCCACTTTGAAAATATAATTTAAAATAACATGAATATATACTTTTTTTTCATAGGTATTAAAGTATGTTCTGTTGTAAAATAGGATTTGTGATTTTATACATTTTTAAAGATGCTAATTCATTAAAAATAATCACCAAATGCTTGCATTAGAAGTTTAAGATTCCTGTTTATTATGCATTAAAAAGATACTGGAAGGATGGAGTTTTCTCAAAAGATTAAGAATAGAGATGTCATATGACCCAGCAATTCTTTTTCTGGGTATATGCCCTCCAAATTTGAACACATTTATTTGTAAAGATATATGTACCTCTCTCTCTCATTGCAGCATTATTCACAGTAGCCAAGACATCTAAACAACTAAAGTGTCCTTCAGTAGATAATTGGATAAAGAATATGGGGTACACATATACAATGGAATACTACTCAGCCATTAAAAAAGATGAAATGCTACCAATTGCAACAACATGGATGAATCTTGAGAGTATCATGCTGAGTGAAATAAGTCAGACAGAAAAGGACAAGACTCATGATTTCACTCTTATGTGGGGTATGAAAGAGAAAGCAGCAGATAAATTAACAAAGCGAATAAACAGGAACAGAAATACTCATTGACACAGTATATTGGTTACTAGAGAGAAGGGGGGAGAAGGTTGAAGAGGGTAAAGGGGGTTAAATACATGGTGACAGAAGGAGATTGAACTTTGACTGATGAGCATAAAGTGAAATATACAGTTGATATAACATTGTACTTGAAACATATATAATCTTGTTAAAAATGTCAACCCAATACATTTAATTAAAAATACTGGAACAAAATAAAAAGTTTCAGCTCTGGCTCTTTGTGAAATTGGAGATTATGGATATTTCTTAAAGCATATTTTTATTTTTGTGTTTCTTCCAACATTTTATATGGGCATATATCATAGCAGAGAACTTAGGAACAAGGGCCTGAGAGCCTTGGTTACATCTAGGTACAAATGGGATGTAATCCCAACTCTAGAACTTAGGAGCTATATGATTTGGGGCAAGTCACTTTGACATCTCAAACCCTTAGTTTCTTCATCTGAAATAGGAATAATAAGATTGCTGTGTAAATTATAAATTAAATGATGTAATGTGTTAAATATTTAGTTCAGTGCCTGAACAACACTATGATATTATAGTCTTGTAAAAGAGACAAGAATATTTATATAAAAATGAGAAGAAAAAACTTATATGCATATATGCATAACCAATAGACACAGACATCAAATGGCTTGATTTAGGTTACAGGGTCTGAAACTTAACTCTGCAGTAGCTATTGGTTATCATGATGTGTCCCCTCATTCGATTATCCTTTTTTGTCTCCACTTAGTACTACTGTCTTTGATCAAATAGATGAATTAATTACAGACAAAAGGGTTACATCATGGAGAAACCTGATCAATGTTTAATGTGCTTGATGAATGCAAAAATACATAATTCAATAGAAAACACTAGCTGGGGAATTATGCTGCA